TGTTGTATCGATGCATATTTCATAAGGTATGCTCATTCCATCATTGTGCTTATTACATAATATCATACTAATACTCATTTCTTTTATTGTTATACTCATTTACGTATAGCGTACACCCATACATGTAATTTATTCATTACAAACAAATTTGTATTTAATATATTATCAATAGATTTATCCATGAGGAATATAACAAAGCATTGAAAAAAGTACTTCATAATTCTTTTTTCTAAACTGACAAACTTTATATTATGAGATTTATGATGTTATTACACTAATGCACATTTATTTTGAAACATATGCTCATTTAGTACAGCAAAAACTCATTTCACAGTCCACATATAATAATTTTCATTTTAAACCTTTCTATCAATACACGTTCAATGTAAATATTATACTCATTTGGAAATGACGTAAAACTCATGTTTTCTTTTAAAAAAAAATCTTATAATGGCCATATTCTCATTTGGAACCTTGGTTATGCTCATTTCTTTTAAACTTTATACACATTTAAATATAACATAAAACTATTTTTTTATAAATCATACATGTAATATTTTAATTACAACCCAACATAATTCATTATTGTATGCTCATTTAAAATCTCTGTTATGCTCATTTTATAATATCATACGAGTGCTCATTGCTTTTAAATGTTATACTCATTTCAGTATACCATAAAAGTTCTTTTTATAATAGTATATTCATTAGAAATCAACTTAATACAATTAGATTCGTTTACTAATATATTAGTAGATTTATGCATGAGAAATATTATTATTTATTAAGGGAATAATTAATAATAAATTTTGCCAAAAATAATAATAAATAATTTTTTGTCAATCAATAGATTTAATATGCATCAAATTAGTAAACATAGTTAATTCTATTAGCGGGAATGAGTTTGTTATGCGTGCATTATTGAATATAATGCTAAAATAAATGTACACGAGTATAAGATTACAGAACAAGCAAAATAATTCATTATTCCTAACACACAAACTTTAATGTGTTTGTTCTGTAATCTTTCACTCGTGCACATTTATTTTAAACATTATACTCATTTTTGTATTATACACGGCTCATTTCAATAATTCACGCTTAATAAACTCATTCCCGATAATAGAATTAACTATGCTTACTAATTTGATGCATATTAAATCTTTTGATTGATAGTTTTTTATGAAGTTGCCATTCCCTTTAATCATTTTCAAAATTTGAATGCGTTAGTTTTACAAAGGAGAAGAAGAAGAAATAAATGAAACGGGGAGCCAACGAAAGAAACAAATAAAAGGGGCCGGAATTACCTATAATAATCAGCCTTAAAGTTGCAAATGATTACAAATTTACCCAGTTATATCATGCACATGGTATAACTGAGTATATGATATAATTTGCGATTAATCTCCCCTGAACTGAATTATAGGCTAATTCTTTTGCTTATATGAAGATGTCGTCTAGCACCTTTTAAAATTAATATTTTTCATATCTAAATAGTTTTCATTTCTTTAAAAAAAATAGTTGTCATTTAATATTTCATCAAATTGAATGAGGTTAAGTTCATAAAACTCCTAAGCTAAAACTAACTTGTCACTAATTAAATTGTAAATTGTTTACAATTTATCATTGCATATTTATTTTTTGGTTTTTAAACCCGGTAGGCAAACCACCAAAATTGGTGGGATAAGTGTCGAGGAACATTTACCAAGTTTTATTAATGAAAAAATAAAGTACAAGGACTAGACTGAATAATAGTTATTTAAATACAATCTATAGTTATTTCACCTATTTGTGACTTAAATAATTCTGATTACATGACTATATTATGCACCAAGCTGGAATGGACATGTAAGTTTTCATTGCTTGCTTACATGACTATATTGTTCTATTGTTCAAGTAGCTGAATTGTGTACTATAACAATGCCAGTTTGATTCCTCAATTCAAAACTTCTCAGTCACACACTAGCTTTATGTCTAGATGCAAAGTAAACTTATTCAAGTAGGAGAAACCATTATATTTACGGATTAAATTTTTGGGGTTTCTCTTAAACCATGCATTAATGGATAATTTGAAAATTGTTGGTGTCATATATACTATCAGCGACTAATGATAAATAAATGAAGTTAAAAACAAGCATACACGAGAAAAGATTATATTGATGTGTCATTTCTACACTTAAATAAATTAAATCAAACTTAGATAATAATGCTACATATAAATTCAAATCACATTAATACAAATCATTTTTAAACAAAACAAACCGTTGAGTTTAGATTAGATGACACTAGTTCAGGTAAGGTATATTATGCTTTCAATTGAATTATCCTAAATATTACCCCGTATAAAGTGCGTACCTGTTCTTTATCTTTAATGGTTCTAGGTTGTGTTGGTAAAGGGAATGCTTGGCGGTTTAACTTCTTCACATTATAGAGCTCCATTACTTTATCATAGTTCTCCGTCCACCACTGTTGAGCTTGATTCTTGTTAAATATTTCTCGACTGCCCAAATTGAATTTAACTCGGCCATTAATAAATAAAAGGAAAAAAGATTGGGGAGAAGTAATAATCACCACCCAACCAAATATAAAAACAATATACTATCATGCATGTTTTGAATTGCTCTTTTTATTAAATCAATCTCTTAGAAATGTGTTATCAACTCTCAAAGGAGAAAGTGAGAAGCGCAGTATGACCAAAACTCAAAGAATAAACAAACTTCAAGATTGACAATTTAAAATGTTTTGTTGAGCCACTATATTAAGGTTTGAAATTTCAATATAAAAGATTAACCTATATTGAGAGAAAAGACTATTTTAAATACGACGGCTTGATATTTTATTTTTTTAAGGTCATATGACGTAAGATGCTTCACATAACCCCTCAATATTATGGTTCATTGGAATTGTCTTGAATGATGATGCATATAATTATCGAGGTCTCACCTCGATCAATTCTTAGGCTTCAGGATAGCAGTCTGCTGAGCCCAGGCCTCGGCTCAACACTTCAGATAAAATTGAATCCAACGCTCGGCCGAATGGATCCAACGGCCAGTTGGTCACCACGATAGACTCATTAATACACAACGAATTGATATTTATGATCATATTTATTTCATAATATTACGTAATAATTAACTCATTAAATTGTAATAATTAGTATACTTATGTTTGAATATTCTTTGTATTAATGGGCCTACCTCCAGCCTATAAGAGGGGCGTCGTGCCCCTATTGGGAAGAAAAAACTTCCCCATGACTGAATTCTCTGAGTACTACTCCTTTGAATCACATAAATATGTCAACAAAAAAAAGTTATCTTTCAATGCCTTATTATTTCGGACTCTTCATATACTTCCACATTCTTGTCAACTCAAGGGTTTTCCGTTCGGTCAACCCTAGCCTACAAATCAGACATTGGCGCTATCTATAGGAGCAAAAAAAAGACAAAAAATTCAGTCTATAACACTAGCAAAGCAACATCCTCATCCAATCTCTCACTATTGGGAATATGGCACCTTAACTTCAGGAGAAAAAACACCAACTAAAAAGCAAGGCAGGAAAAGGATCCACAAAATATCAAGAAGTCTGGTACTAATGGGGAAGACAACACACTAGGGGGATGGCCCCGTGTTGTAGACTCGACTGCGACACAGAAATCGATTAAAGAAGATAAGAATTAAATGAAGAGAGAGAGAGAGATTTAGAGGGAGATTTTGGGAGAGAGAGGAATTAGTTAGGATTTTCATAATCATCCTCTCTCTAGAATTCCATACATGTATAGTAGAACTCTACAATAATAAGGGCCCGTTAAATAAAATTTGGGCGTAATTATATTAAAACATTTGAGCCAATTAATATAGCCAACCATAGTTGCCGCCCTTATGCTTTATTATTGCTCAACCCGGACTGTCTATCCTGTATCTCTAACTGAAGGTTAGCGATTCCATTTTTATCTTCTTATTTACTACGATCTCCCTCATGTTCCGTTTTATTTGTTAATTTCATAACAATACTCCCCCCCCCTCTTGAGACCCTTGTCCCCAAGGATCAACCCTTGGAAACATCTTCTTAAGGGCGACCTTTGACATCTAGCATTCAATTATCTCCCATGTTTGGTCCTGCACCATGAATAAGGTTATTGGAGGTTCCCTTCATGTCTCATCATTTTGTGTCTCATCATGAATCCCCCGATTGAGGATGGAGATATGGTAAAGCACCCATCTTTATTGATGGGAGGTAGGGTACCTGCTAGGCTGCTACTTCAATATGTGAATTGATGCAACGATTTAGAAGAGAGACAAGGACTATCCAGTGAATCTTAACATCTTAGGGTAGGTTTAATTTGTAAGCCACCTTACCTATGAGTTAAATAATGTTGTACGGTCCATAGTAGCGTGTTGCCAGTTTCAAGTACACCCTTTCTCCTACTTCAAACTCCCTACCAGTCCTTTTACTATATGCGTATTGTCTCATCCTCCCTTGAGATAATTTGAGGTTTTCCTTTAACTCTTGATTCATTCTCTGCTTGTGAGTAATAAATTCCTTAACATCCATATGGGTCAGATTGGACGAGGTAGGTAGAGATAGTGGAGGAAGGGGTGTGAATATAAGGCTTCAAAAGCAGAAGTTTTAGTGTCAGTGTGATAGTTAATGTTATACTAGTATTCTACCATAAATATCCATTGAAACCATTGTTTTGGGTTTTGACGCATCATGGCCCTTAGATAGGCCTCCAGAAATTGGTTTAATCTTTCAGTTTGTCAATAAGTTTGAGGGTGGTATGAGGAGGTGCATGTAATGATAATGGGAAATACAGACTAATAACTTAACAGAGAGAGATATAATAATGGAGAGGGAGAGAGATATGAGGGGGAGAAAAAGAGATACAGGGGCATTGATAATACTTATTATTTGTATACTTCCTTCCCATCATGAGTACATAAATACTTAATGATTAGCCAAATCATAATAACTGAAATAATATGAAATAAACAAGATAATAAGTCCATTGGTGTAAAATAAGCCCAGTAGTTTAAATCGGCCAATTAAGTAATCTCGCAGTTCGGTGCCTTCCTAGATTATGAATTCTGGGTGAAGGTCGCTTATTCACCATATTTCTCCAATGTGTTTGAAAGTTCGTATCTTTACCAGGCCACCTTCTGTCACTTTCATGATAATACTTCCCTCTTTTTGAGATCCTTGTCCCAAGGTTGTATTCGTTAAGCTAATTTTTTGAATACAACCATTGGTACCAATCCCTTATAAGCTTCTTCTTTGTCATCAGAAGCTTAGAATAAGGTCACTGTTGTTGAACCTTTTTTACTCAGCCCGATCTCCTTGATATGATTGAGGATGGAGATATGCAGAACTCACACGTTTAATCTATGGACGAAAGATTAGAGCGAAATACGAACCTAGAACTAATACATCTCTTTAGGGGTGACATGTGAAAGATTGGGTGTACCTTAGCCCCCTCAAGTAAATTCAATCTGTAAGCTACCTTCCCAATACACCTCAAAATTGTATAGGGCACATAGTAGCAAACCGCCAACTTCTGATTTTCCTGAATTGTATGGATTGTTAGGGAATGAGCCTACACGCATGATTAAACTATTTGTATATGGACGAACATCTAATACTGTCCACAAGTTTTGACATAATAAGCTACCTAGTTTAGTGTGCGCGCATAGGTGCGAGGACGATGATCTGACACGACTTTAGACTCTAGAGAATGTGAGTCGGGTGGAACACTCGTGGTGTGATCACACAAAGGCTGTATATAGAATTGGGGAATCTTATGTGGACCTGACGGCGCTACCACATAGATCCCCAAAAGACCTTACCTTCTGATTAAATGAACTACAAGCATATAAGAGGGAGTGGTCTATAAATCTTAGGTTTTTATTTGGGTGTCAGCACTTGTATAGAGTCAGGTGGCCTAAGGACTGAATTAAAAAGTTGATAATAAAATTCATGATTGATTAAACAATTTTGGAGCGTATAGGCTGGATCAAGTTAAATTGGGCCTACATGCTAGTACTTGAGCTTTCAGGGTTGATATATTAAACACTGATTTTGAGGTGATAGTTAAAGGTATTTATATAAAAATGGCCTACGGGTTGAATATTTGCTGCTCATATGAAATGCTACTGTCCCTGTCCCTTAAAATTTTGCCAAGTTTGACCGGCACAGAGATTAATAAAGTAAAAACTATGTGGTAGAGGTTTGTGCAGAGGAGAGAGAATTATCTGGAACCACAAATTCTTTGCTTAAAAGGAAAGTGACAAAGTTAGTGGGACATCTAAAAAAGGAAAGTTGGCAAAGTTTTAAGGGAAGGAGGGAGTATATATTATATGTATCACCATATTTTAAGGGTCCAATGTCTAAATGCTCATTATATATCTTATAGTATCCCTTTCCCTCGCTAGTACCAGTTGTACTGACCCCTAGCTAGGGCGCCCATTTTTCCAGGTTCGAGCATGTGCTTGCTGCATGCACTTTTACAGATAGTGTGCTTGGGTGAACACTTAATTTGTGCATCCTCATTCTATTTTAAAATTAGTCATAAATGCTCATGGGTTATACTTTTGTCAATCATATTTGTAATTGAACCTTTGTGCCAACAACTTGTCTCTCGTGGGCTAATTACTATTTTAGATATTATTCTCCACTTCTTAGTAATAAAAATGCTTTTAGTTTATTTTATTCTTATGGGATACTTAGTATGGATGATATACATGATGCCTTGTATAACTCAGCAAGAATAGATTGCGGTTTCCCTTAACGGGTTATACGGCGGTTGTCGACGTCATCGGCGGGTCAAGGGTGTGTCAATTTAAGTGATATTAGAGCCTAAGGTTCCTAAACTATACCATGTGAAATCCTCAAAAGTTTTTTTTAAAATAATTTTGGAAAACCATGCACACAGAAATATTATGTACCTAGGAACTTTTGGTACTCGGGTTGCAATGTCTCTAATTGTTAAGATGATGCCCTTAACAATTGGTATGGCGGCAACTAGAGCTATAAGGTATCCGAAGTATTTGTCTTCCAATCGACACTTGATACGAGTCGGTTGACTCTTTCTTAGTTAAAATTGTGCACTATTTCAGAGAGATGAACAAAGCGGCACACCTTCTTGCTCAAATTGGTCGCAAGGGCATGCTAGAGAGTTCCAGAAGCTTCATATACTCCTTGGTGATTATGTTGATGCCAAGAAGGGGGAAGAGAAGCGAGCAAAACAGACAGAGCTGCTCAGAATTGGTTCACAGAGTTCTCCTCTTAGAGGAGTTTTGACATTACTACAAGACTCACCATAGAGCATATTGCCAGGCATTTTCAAGTTCACGGCCAGAAGAAGAAACATGCTAAGAAGTCCAAACCTTCTCTAAATCTGGTAGACTGGCTCTAGAGCAAGGATGTTGACAAAGCACTTCCTCCTCCCCTACTCTCGGACCTCATGAAGAATATGAATCCACGAAAAAGATCACATTTGATGTGGC